AAAATTAAAAAAAAAAAAAAGAAGAGGCCCTGTCTTCCATCCTGCCAAAGAGCCTGTGTAGGTGGTGGAATCAAGATAAGCAACCCCGCAGAAGATATCTTAAAAACAGGATGGCTCATATGAGGAGATGGGTCTTTCAGATAACATGGACCCAAAGCATATAGTGCTTTACAGGTCATGGCAGACACTTTGAATTAGGTCTGGATGTTGACTGGTAGCCAGTGAAGCTATTGTAATAGGAGACTTATTTGTTGTGGTCTAGTGCAAATGAACAGTCTGATAGCAGCATTTTCAGCCACCTGAAGTTTCCACACACACTTCAAAGACAGACCCATATAGAGTGCATAGCAGTAATCTAAATGGGATGTAACTGAGGCATGCATCACTGTAGCCAGATCAAACATTTCAAGGAACAGCAGCAGCTGGTGCACTAACTTTGACTGTGCAAACATACTCCTTACCACCACTGAGTGGTTTGGAATATATCCAAACTGCAGATCTGACTTTTCAGGGCAGGAGTAACACCATCTAGTATCTGTGCTACATGCTGAACATGAAGTCTGTTTCATTAGTATGCTGTCAAGTTTTCGACGCACAACACCTGATTTTTATATGGATCAAACAACATATTTACATAGGCCAAGCAATATAATAAATGGACACAATATTTCCTTTTCATCTGTGCAGAGGCAATGTTGAAGAAGTATTCTCTCTGTTCTTGGGCAGTGACACTATAACATTCCTCAGTATTCTGTTTTATCCCACATGCAATTCTGTATCTTTGAGGTACTGCATTGGAGTGATTCTGCTCCCGCTTGGATGGTTGATTCCAGAAGGGAGAGTTTATTGCTCTGACCTCTAGCAATTATGCGCTAGGGTTCTACAGAATTATGTTTTATCATGAATGCTATGTAGTATCTATATAAACAGCAGGAAAAGTTAGTCTAGAGGTCTTCAAATTGAGTTACTTACTTTTTAAATTACCGTATATGATCCTTAATCCTTCCAGTCATTGTATCCTCCATACTTTTGGAGATCATGTTATAAGTAAGATCTATAAACTGAGACTGTCTTAAGCATCAGATTAATCTCATCATTGAATATTATAGGAAACACCATCAGGATTAAAGCGCTTCTATTTTTAGTTTCCATCTGCATTCTTCAGTACAGCTCGTATCTATTTTCCTTGCCCAAAATATGTGTTTCCTCATCACAATGTACAGATTTCCAGTGAAAGTGTCTGAATATAAGTATTATGAAAATAGTTGACAGCAAAGTTCCCTCTAATTTTCCACCAGTGCTGGGTCTGGCCGTGCCTTGTGCATGCGGTGTTATAGCCACAACTGGAACAAAATGGGAAACAACACTGGCTGCGGGTGACCAGCACCCATGCAGCACTGCGCGCCCACACAGCTTAAGGGGAACATTGGTTGACAGTTTTAATGACAACTCTAATAGACGCAATAAGACACTTAAATAAGTACTCTGAGAGTGACCAGTACAATCTTGCCTGTTCAGTAGTCTTCTGCTTGGTCCATTGTTTGTGAGTGTCCAAATATGGAGGCTGCCCAAATGTTTGTTTGATATGGAGCACTATTCTTTCTGACAAACTAATTTTTTAGCTTGCAAAACCCAAGCCAAAATAGAAATGCTGGCAAGTGATGTTCTTGCAATTTGAATGAAAGACATGGGCTGTGATTTAGATGTTATAACAGACAGGTGTCCTTTGTTATTACTGGGCCATTCAAGGGTTGTTTAGTTTCTTTTCCTCCAGGGGACTCTGTACAGTGTTGTATAGTTTCTTTTTACTGTATAATGGGCAGCCTTTTTTTTTCTGGATCTGCTTGCGTTTTTTTCTTCTTCAAAACAACAAATAGCCGCCAGATTAGAGGTTAACCTTGTTGCATACTACCTGATTGTGTTTCTTTGTACTGCATTTGACTTCCATTGAGGAACATTCTAGAATCTGTTGCCTCTTTCATTTTGATCCAGTTAGTTCTTTAGCCTCATTTCTCTGATGACTTTTAACTTGAATTCTAATATGCCTTGACTTGTTTTACCCCTGAGAGAGACATAGCATTATAGAACCTTGCTAATAGACCACAACTGTTTAGCCTTTTATTTTTGTAAAGTGTTGCAGTCAGTTACCAGATGTAGAGTTGCTTTTGTTTTCTGTAAAGGTGCCTAGTAAAATTTATGTCAACTAAGACTCAGGCCTCATCATGTTTTAGGTGTCTGGGAAAAACAAATATGTATCCATCTGAAATTTTATTTTCTCTGTTTTTGATAGCTTCTCTAGAGGTGCTTTCTATTTTTCTGTTGACCCACTGAATTCCTTCTGAAAACAAGATACAATTTTTTTTTACACACACACACACACACACACAGAGAGAGAGAGAGAGAGAGAGATTCCCAGAATATATATATATATATATAAGGGGAACATTGGTAGACAGTTTTAATTACACATCTCTAAGTACAGTATATTATATATATTGGCTTTCTCCCCAAAAGTACCAGAGGCTGGATGTCTATTGTATGACTGTAAAGTAGGACATATGACCAGTCACAAGACTACGCAAAGGACAGCTTGTCAGTGGCAGACAGCTTGCATGATTGCTCTTGTGCACATGGAAATTCTTAAAGGAATTCTGACCTACATATGTTTATGTATTATTAATTGCACTATGTTGTCATATAGAGCACATCTTAACCAGCAGTTATACTCAGCTGCTCATCAAGTTGGATCCATGTATGGGTTTGTGGCAGAAGTAGACTGCTCCACCTTTTACTCTCTTGTCCGGCTCCTTAACGCTCCTGCCAATGCTGTGTGGAGAGCTGCGAGACTGGATGACTGGAATGTATTGAGGAAATTCACTCATGGACGGCGTCTCTGCCTAGGTTTCAGGGATCCTTCTTTCGTCTTGGTCATATACTATTCCTTCTGCAACGGTCCCTGGTCTTTTCTGTAGTGTTTGCTGAGAGATTTTGTGGGGAGGAACAGTCACAGGAGTCCACATCTGGCAGAAGACATCCACACACATGCACCTAAATCTTATTTTACCATTGTTGCATTAGAGCCACAATGGCTAAAATGATGTTGCTTGGTGATGCCCATAGAAACCAAATCGTGCAGCTCGCAGCAGCTTTTCACTAGCAATTAAAAAGTCCCCACTTGAATTTTCATTGAGTTGGCAGGTTCCTGAAAATCAAAGTGAGGACATGTTAACTGTCAGTGAGAAGCCACTGTGAGTTATGCCATTTTTCTTCCACAGGAATAGCTGTGTGATAGGTCTTTGGCTGATGATTTTTTTGTATTTTGAATTGATGTTTCAGGAATACATCTCTGTTAGAGGATGACCGCATAGGCAGGGAGTGGTGATTCCTTCCATTTTCAACTGCTGTGTATCTACCCAGAGTAGACTTCAGTCTGGATGGGCGGGATATAAATTAAATACAGTAAATAAACAAATAAATATTATTAATTCAATAAAGTGTGAGAAAGGCAATGTATGCCTTTATAGCAGATATGTAACGGTGGCGTTCTAATGTGACTGGCAGTCGAAGGAATGAATCCTGGTTGGTTAGAGTGATTGGAATGTTGTGGGAATAGGTCTGTGTGTCAGTTAAGAGGAGACAGTTTGGAATTAGAATTAGAGAGAGATCAGTTAGAGCTCAGAAAGTTAGAGCAGTGATTTAGATCAGAGAGTCTGGAAAAGAAAGAAGCCTGTTTTAGTCAGGAAAAGTAGTCTCTGCTAGAATTCATTAGAGACAGAACAATCCTAGGATATATGGATGTGTGTGGGTGTTTCCTTCTAGCTAACGCTTTCTGTAATGGCTCTAAATAGTGGTGGCTAGGTGTTAAAAAGTGCCTGCAGCCACCTGAAGAGCATGTCACCTAGCTTGTGTAAAAATTGGTGAAAAGATTGGCGCCTCCTGGAATGTCACACGCACATCATACTTACAGTGTGAAATGTATAATTTGGGGAAGTCAATAGAGCAAAATTACAAAGAAGAGGACAATGTCATGGCAGGCCGTCTTAACACTTAAACACTTTAACTCTTTAACACTTAAAAATGGAACCAGTATTCATCTTACTGCTCTTATTACACAGAAATCAAAGAACAATCTACATTGGAGGATGCCCAAGTGGAAGCGGACGGTGAGAAGAAGTTAACACAGATTCTTCAGTGCTCAGTGCCTGAGGAGACTGCAAGTTCTGTTGCCTCTGTTGGTGTTGAAGCGAAAACCAGGTAAACAAGACAGGTGTGGAATTAATGGTTGGGGGACGGGTTGGAACTTAGATGATGCTGGAGATACAGTCTTTGCATCATCTTGCCTCTGTTCCGAAGTATTATCTGTGTTGGCAGCTACTATATTTGGGGACTGGTGGAGTTGCTTGCAGGAGGAGGTGGAGTGGGAAAATACGTTTCGCAAGAGCTCTTTGTTATCAAATTACAAATAAAGATATCACCATTGTCAGATATCAACTCCAGAGATTTAAATATTTCTGGATATTTTAATGTGAACTGAATACAACAGAGATTTCAGTCCCTTTAGCAATGTTGTAGTGGTCTAATACCGGGTAAAACTGTTTGCCCATCTAGTCCAGTGCTATTTTTCTTGTCCCATGTGTGCCTCAAAGCTATTATCTTTCCCTCTCCCCCCTTCCCCATGTATGTGCTTTGCTTTAGTGTTCAGTTAGATGCTTCTAGGGCTGTAGTTCTTAAAATATATACTGTATCCCAAGTTGTGCTACTGCAGATTGAATATGCTAATTTACCAGTTTATTTTCCCATTTTCTGTGTTTTGCAAACTTGTCTTCATTCCTTTTTGTTGCAGGCTCAAGCTTGCTCCATCACACAAATATAAATAAATCCAGATTATTTAAAACACCCTTCCAAATCTGCTAATTATTAAAAGAGCAGATAAAACCTATCCATTATGCTTCTGTTATGAGCACGCCACTAATGAAGCATGTTGCATTTAAACTGTGTACACGTCATAACACCTGGTTATGATGTGTACACAAATATCCAAATATGAACCAGTAATTTCCAAATATGAACCAGTAATTTCAGAACTTGCTATAACAGTTAACTGAACTCTGGTGTAGGATTTCTAAAATGTATTTATTTTTATTCCTCTATTGAATTTTTATCCTGCCTTTCCACTGAAAAATTAATATTAATATGGCTAATAAAAACATAATAAAATTGAATTAAATTATAAAACCTATAAAATGCCTAAGTGTGTTTAATACCTCTTAAATACAATAAATTAACTTGGACTTCAAAGAGGTTTTTAATCCAAGGTAGTCCAGATTAGTTATAAAACTGCTAATATTGGTTCGGCTTTATGTTGCTAATGTTTGTATTAAGAGCCTCTGATGATGGCAAGCGTGATCTTCTGTAGCTCTCTCCCAGCTGGTATGTGTACAAAAAAAACAAAAACAAAAACAAAGCATTTGCCCCATTGTCTTTCTTTGGTTTCACAAGACAGTAAAAAAAATTGGACAATTGAGGTATGTTTAATGTTACAGTGATGCACTCAGGCAGACACTGGTTATTCTCATTGAAACATTTTGCTTTTTTCCAGATCAAGCCATCAGTCTTGTTTTGTTTCCTGTTTAAATATTGTATATAAAAACTGACATGAAAGGAACTATTTAACATAACCATTAGTCCCTCTAAAGCATAATAACCTGCAAAGGTTATTAGGAGCCTCGTGGCACAGTGGCTAAAATGCTGTACTGCAGCCAAAACTGAGCTCACGACCCAGGGTTCAATCCCAGGTAGCCGGCTCAAGGGTGACTCAGCCTTCTCTCCTTCCGAGGTCGGTAAAACTAGTACTCAGCTGGCGGGGAGGGGCAATGTGTAGCCTTCGTACTAGTACTCAGCTCGCGGGGAGGGGCAATGTGTAGCCTTCGTAATTAACTTGTAAACCACCCAAAGAGTGCTTTAAGTGCTATGAGGCGGTATATAAGCAGCACGCTTTGCTTTTGCTTTAAGGTGTGATCTAGAAATTACCAGAGTTTATCCTGGAATACCATGATCAACTAAGGTAGAGCTGTATTTAATCCATTTATGCCCAGAGCTGTAAGGAATAAGTCAATCCAATAAAGTCCACGTTGTTCTTACCTCTGTAAAATACAAAGTGATGGAGAGGTGACATGTTAATCATTGTTCATTGATCCTTTTTAAAATATGCCATTTGGATAATTTGATCTTGCCAGTTATAAAGAGTTTTGCTTTTCACTCATTTCATTGGTTCTGAAATAAAATGATTTGAAGGTGCTTCAGGATTATGAAAATGAGTACATACTAAATGCATACTAAAACTAAGATGAAAAAAAACATTTGGATAATTTGATCTTGCCAGTTAAGTTATAAAGTGCTTTTCACTCATTTCATTGGTTCTGAAATAAAATGATTTGAAGGTGCTTCAGGATGATGAAAATGAGTACATACCGTACTAAATGCATACTAAAACTAAGATGAAAAAAAACTTTACACATTTTTAGTACATCATTTGTGATAAGATAAAATCTTACCTTTGTTGGTCATAGTAGAATGGAAAATATTCAGAATGTATTAAATGTCTTTCAAGGTCAATACTGTATTCTTTTGCAAACTTACTAGGGAATAATTAGATGAAAATGAGTACATACCGTACTAAATGCATACTAAAACTAAGATGAAAAAAAACTTTACACATTTTTAGTACATCATTTGTGATAAGATAAAATCTTACCTTTGTTGGTCATAGTAGAATGGAAAATATTCAGAATGTATTAAATGTCTTTCAAGGTCAATACTGTATTCTTTTGCAAACTTACTAGGGAATAATTATAATTTAATTACATTACTTCTGAGTAAGTATGGGTAATACTGGACTGCAAATTTCATGGAGGTGAAGAGAAGGACTGTTGGCTTTTGTTTTGTAGGTCCTTCTGTAGACTAACAGGTGAAAAATGACACTTGTTTTTTGACATTTAAATGTATATTTTTAGAATTTGAGTGTTTTCTTCTCTGATGCACTTTATTTATTTATTTATTTATTTATTTATTTATTTGAGTTCTATCCCGCCCATCTAGACCAAAGGTCTACTCTCAAACGATGTGCTTTTTGCACAGTTTTGCTCAAGACTTCATTTAATTTAGGTTGTATATAAGCAGTATTTGTAGATTTTTGAGCCAGATAAATATCACCTATAAGCCCTTTTCCTTACAGTGGAGTTTTTTTTAAAAATCAGGATCAGAGCCAGTAGCAGCAAGCCTGCTCAGTCCCAAATAAGATGGATCTGAAAAGATCTGATTTTTGAAAGTGTAAAGAAAACCCTTCTACTGTCACCCGACTCCTACCTGGTGATTGATGCCCAGTGGTAGTTTCTAGCAGTACTAAAAAATCTTTCCCTTATGCTTCTCTCAGTTTGTCTTGTTCTCACCTGTCAGAACAGCTCAGGATGCATCTGTTTAGCCATTGCCACAGCAATCATGTTTATCGCCAATAAACGTTGTATACATTTGTTGTGTACTTCTGTTGTATCATGTGCCATTAAGGAAGAACTGATTTGTAGTGACCCTAATGAGGTAAGTGAGGTATTTAAGGAGTGGATTCAGTTCCAATGAGTTTCCAAGACTGAATGGAGATTCAAACCCAGTCTCCTGAGACCTAGTCCATCAGTCTAAGCACTACACCTCTCTGAGTATCCATACTTTTGTTAATAATAATGATAATGATGTGCTGTCAAATCAATTCTGACTTATTGCAATTCATATTTAGGATTTTCCAGATAGAAAATACTCTGCAGTGGTTTACCAGCCCATTCTTGTGAGGGCCTCCTGGGATTGTGCAGCTTGCCCAAGACCACACAGGCTGGTTCTACTAGTAGGAGGCACAGTGGGAATCAGACTCCCAGCCTCTAATCAGATACCTAAATCACTGAGCTGTTTTAACAGTGATACTTGATTTGTATTTCCATATAACAGAGGAGTGTATTTTCATCTTTTGTGGCCATAAAATTGAATAGTTGGTGTTGATGAGGTGACCAAAAAAACCTTACACTAAAGTAATTTTGTTGTATTTATTTACATTAAGAGGCAAGCTTTGTTGCTGACAATAATTTCATTAGTTTGTGTTCTGTGTCTTTTAGGTAGTATCTAAAGTTTTTCTTTTATGATTTTTTTTTAGCAGTGAACAGCTCTGCGCCTTTTGTTACTGTGGGGAGCGAAGCTCATTAGGACAAGGAGAACTGAAACAATTCAGTCCAACACCAGGGTTTATTGCTTCTTGGAACATCCAGACTTTAAATAAAAGTGAAACTGGTGATAGCAATCATGACATTTGTGATAGTGCTCCAAGGCAGAACTCAGTCCTACACAAATCAAGAGGACAGAAGAAGTAAGTATTTTTATCCTTAACAAAATAAGCACATATATTACTGTTCCAGTCTTCTGTTGAGTTGCACATTAATGTACCTTGAAGTAACATTCAGGTAGAAGCATTTCTGTGCTTGTATGTGGTAAAAATAGTTTTAAAATGTTAGTGTAGCATGCATTTTAAGTATTTGCATTGACTAAGTATGAGTTGAAAAAAAGTTTATATACTTACGATGTAGAAAATATAAATATGCTGTTATCAACAGAAACAGCTACAGAAAGAAAAAGGCAGAATACATTGAAAATTGTATTTTAAACCACGGCAGTTAGTAACACGGCTAGAATTTTGGCTCTGTCTCTTAAGCATCCAGGGTCAGAATGCTTCTCAGCTATGTTGCTCCTTAAAATAAAAAGGTGGCATGTGACTGTTTCTCAGTTTGATCTGTACCACAGGGTGGTTGTAAGGTAGCCACTCTGTGAAAGTGGAGAATACAAATGTAATGTAAGTAGCTGCTGAAAACATTACCAGGTCTTTGATCTTGTTATCTATAAGAACATATTCTATAACTCCTAGGACGCATCTCACTTATAGAGCACTCACTATTAGTGTACTTTATGGTGATTCTGTCTTGCAGATGCTAACATTGTTTTACTAGTTTGCTTCTTTATTTATTTGTTGCATTTGTATCCTACCTCACCTCCATTTAGATCAAGCCGTTGGTCTGAGCTCTCTTCTCTCCACTTTATCTTCACAACAGTTCTGCGGGGTAGATCAGGTTGAGAGGTGGTGGACAGCCTGTAGGTCACTCAGTGAGTTTCATGGCCGAATAGAAACTTGAACCCGGGTGTCCAGCGCTCTAACTACTGTTTTTTATTCTTGTAGTTCTAAACATCAGTGAACTAACTCTCTCATGGTAGTGTCTTTTGAGGAGTTCAATAATAGCTTGTTTCATATTGGAAAATGTATTTAGGTTTATTAAATTTAAAATATTGTGGGGAATGGTGGGGAAATCTGCTCATCGGTGGCCAGTGCAACAGATTTTTAAAACGCAGTTGAGATTTTCAATTTCTTTCTCTTTTACCCTGCGTAAACTCTTTTGTAAGGATGGTTTTGCTGTTCTTTTATGCTGGCTGATTAGCAGAGTTTTTTGTAGCCTATGGGAAAGCACAAAATTAATTTAGCTTGGAACGCCTAACTAGCTCTGTCCCCTGAGGATGGTGATGTAATCATACCCAAGTGCCATGTTGGCTGGCATTCAAGTTTAAGGTACTAAAGGGATTGTTGTGTTGGAGCTTTTTGATTGGTGGCTAATCCTGGAGGACTGCCAGTAGAATGAAGCCATAAAGTAAGAAATGAAACAATAACAAAAGCGAAGCAGGCTTTTCAAGGGACTTAAGGTGGATCACTTTAAGGAGAATCAGGGTGTCTAAAAGACAAACAACATGTTTAAAATTCAAGTCTGTGGTTCTGTTTCATATTTCTTTTCATTTGTGTAAAGCTGTTTTTAAAATTTTAAGTTAGGCACCAATGCTCATTTTTTAAAATATATATTACTGAATTTATAGGCTAGTATTCATGCTTACCTTGGTATCAGAAACAATAAAAATCTTCTAAATAAATTTTCTTAATGTATGTGGATGAAGTTCAGACTACTATGAACCATAACTAATGCAAATAGCTGACAAATATGGACTGCAGTTTTGTCTGTCCAAAGTCTCTCTTTAGTGTAAGTACAGATATTTTCTACCGCATAAAAAGTGAATGCATGCTAACATGATCACATAAAGGTAGCATATATTTTAAGAAGAATTAAAGGCAAATGACTAAGATATGTGGAATTTTTTGGTAAAGGTTACAGGTTATAGAATCATGAAGAGGAAACTGCCCAGCACACTGTTAGGAAGTACAGCATGATTACACAGGAGGGCCAGATATACCGTAAATAAATAATTAAATAAATAAATAAATAAATAAATCCTGTTCCTTGCAGATAAAATTATTTCAAAAGAAAGCAATTTTGCAGTGTACAGCAAGAGCATGGTCACCATGTTTCCATTGCCAGGATCTCCCACCCTTCCTTACATTTTTCCTGACTGCAGGAAAAAAATATGTATATAAAACATTATATACTTTATTCTCTACTCGTTGATAGCTCCAGTTGAGAGAGATGGCACTGCGGAAAGAGTAAGGGAAGAGAGGGATAAACAGCTGCATTTTAGAGCAACTCTGTTTAAAGCTGCTTTGAAAGAGTGCAAATTAGTATTAAAATACAACAGTGCCACAGACTATATCAAATTTAGAAAAGAGCAGATACGGATCAAATGGTTTTCAATGCATTCCTATGGGAAATGCAGATTTGACCTGAGAACTTTTTGACTTGAGAACCGCCTTCCAATACGGATTAAGTTCTCAAGTCAAGACCCCACTGTAGTATTAAAATATAACAGTGCCACAGACTATATCAAATTTAGATTGGTTCATGAGGCTTTCAAAAAATGTAATAGGGATTTTATTGTTTGATTGTCAGATGATTAAATTGTTTGTAAACTGCCACAAATTCATCTGGTCAGTATTGTCTATAGTTGAGTATCTGCCCATTGCTTTCCATGACCTCCGGTATCTTTGTTCTTTGCCTGATCCTACCTCCAAACATTCCCTCTTCTAATGTGTCTACAGAGACATGCAGTCATAGGGGTGGTATAGAATATCTGCTCAGAATATATTAAAGGTTCAGGTTTCTCTGACACAAGAGAAAATATATTTCATAAACGGAGTTGTTCCAGAACAGAGTAATGCTGGATTTATTACTCAATATAAATAATTAGTTAGCAGTGTGAGCCAATAATGCATGGCAAATAAATGAGTGAATCGAAAACAGAATAATGTTTTCTGCTCTTGTTCTCTTGATGAACTTTTGTCAAAGATTTAGAAATGGAAATTTCCATTTATTTCCAAATATTTTCAGATAATTTATAGATAGTACACAAATCCATACTGTGTTAATTGCAATTGCTTAACCAAATTTTCTGTTGCGTACAGAGAGAAGTCTCATCAGAGTATAACATCGTGTACAAGTATAAGCACTCAGACTACTCCTGATGATCAGGTAGTCAAATTCTGGGATGAACTCAGAATGGTTGGCTTACCAGATGACATTGATGTCCAAGCCTTATTTGAGCCAACAGGTAGTGTACTGCTTTTAAATGTTCTCGATGATTAACATATAACTCAATTTAAAACTGCATGGGGAATTTCCCTCCTGCCCACTTCTATTCAACTTTCTGTGTGAAATGTCAAACTATGTATTTGCTTGATTAATGTGATACAGACAAGTTCTGCTTCCCTTGAGCTAGTTTGTCTGTCCCATGAGTCAAGCAGCACATTTTGAGGACAGCAGCAGGCCCACCATAATATATAAAGCAGCTAGATCCAGGTATGTAGTTTTAGAGGAGGTAGCCATGTTAGTCTATGCTAGCATCTCAGGCAAAAACAAAAGAAACATTTTAAAAAGACAAAAATATTATACAGACATGTTTTGCTTCCCTTGAGCTAGTTTGTCTGTCCCATGAGTCAAGCAGCACATTTTGAGGACAGCAGCAGGCCCACCATAATATATAAAGCAGCTAGATCCAGGTATGTAGTTTTAGAGGAGGTAGCCATGTTAGTCTATGCTAGCATCTCAGGCAAAAACAAAAGAAACATTTTAAAAAGACAAAAATATTGTGGCACTTTAAAGATTAACTGCTGTATTTTAATGTGAACTTTTATGGACAAATCCACTTCCTCAGACAAGAATCTCACTCTTAGGTCTGAGGAAGTGGATTTGTCCAAGGAAGCTACTATAAAAATATAGCTGTTAGTTGTTGAAGGTGCCACAATGTTTTTGTCTTATTTTTAGATCCGGGGCAAGCCCATACTAGAAGATGGTTACTGACCTGAAATAATTAAAGATACATTCACACTACTGAATAGGGCTTTGCTATTAAGTCACTAAATCATTAATTTTCACACAATCTAGTAAATTGGTGAAAATAGCAGCAATAGCAAATTAAGCTATGGAACTGGATAATCCAGTTCTAGTTGAAAACCATGGTACTGCTACATGTCAAGAGTGCAGTAAAATGGAGTATGTGGAAACGAAAACATCGCTGTACGGGGCAGGAAAAGCCTATTGGAACGCATTAAACTTAGTTTAATGCGTTCCAATAGGTGCCAAAACTTACCCCTCCAGCGATGTTTTCGCTGGTCCGGCGGCCATTTGGGAGCCGCCGAACAGCTGATTTCCCGGCATTGCAATGCGAAGATTGTTAAGCGAAACGCTTACTGATCTTCGCAGTGCGAGTCTTGGCCATAGAGGCCATCGGTAAGCGATCGCATTAGCGATCTCAAAAAAGAGATCACTATGCGATTTCGGCGTTATACGGTGTGCTCGTTAAGCGAGGCACCACTGTACTTTTCCCTAGTTTTAGATTACAATGGTCACTGGGAGTTTGCCAGACTGAAGAGCAGCTACCAGTGAACGTGGACAAAGCTGTTGTCTCAGGGAGCACAAAAGTGAGTTCAAAGTCATTACGACATCGTGACTTTTACATCCTTCAAAATTTCTTTCAAGTGTAAATACCAATGCATGCAGAAACCACATCACTAAGACATTAGTTTATTATTTCAAAATAAATTTTCATCTGTATGGACTGTGCTTTGCCAATATTAACTTCGGTTTTAGAGCCAGTAGGAGAAGAAAAGGGAATCCTCTTGGAGTTGTCCTGTGAACAAGTACCATGTTTCCCCGAAAATAAGAGTCTTTTATTAATTTTTGCTCCAAAAACTCATTAGGGTTTACTTTCAGGGGATGTTTTTTTTTTCATGTACAACAATCTACATTTATTCTAATGCAGTCATGTCATCTTCTTCTGGTTGCTGCACAATGGTGGAGGGCAAGGTTTCACTTAACTGGGGCTTAATTTTGGGGTAGGGCTTATATTACGAGCATCCTGAAAAACCATACTAGGGCTTATTTTCAGGTTAGGTCTTATTTTTGCGGAAACAGGGTATTGATTTAAGAGCTGGGACTTTAGATTATTTGTTACTTGATTCACTTCTCATGCTGAAATAATGGCACAATTGGTCTTCCCAAGAAATCCACTCCCAACTGAAAATGAGTCCAAAACAGTCATTTCCATTTTTTTTCCCTCCCAAATATCAGACCTGTAAAAAGGGACAGTCTTCTCAGGGGAAAAGTCTTTAAGTGGTTTAACTATTATGAAGCACCCCAATAAAGATTGAGGTGTTTGAAACACTTTGGTTTTCAGTTAGTGAGAAACAACTGCAGCAAAGAAGTTTACAAATTCCTTTAAAAATACTTGCTATAAATTGTGCTGTGGTGATATACCATGAAGCTTTATGAAGAATTGAAAAAGTAAAATTATTTATATATTTGGCGGCTTTGTGATGGTATTATTGGGAACAGTGGTACTTGTTGTGAATTTTTTTTCCTGAATAATAATTTAAGTATCTGGCTTCAGAGCCAGATGTGAGTTCAGTTTCCCACTGTGCCTCCTTGACAAGGGCTGGATTCAATGTGCTATAGGGTCTAGCAGTGATGGTGAACCTTTTTGAGCCTGACGCCCCAATCGTCGCAAAGCGAGTGCAGCGATTGGGGCAGCTCTGTATAGCGATCCCCAAAAAGGGATCGCTATACGGATTCTTCGTTACACGGTGCGCTCGTTAAGCGAGGCACCACTGTACTGCTACATGAGAGTTTGAAAACTTGGGAAAACCAGTCAGGCCCGAATTCTGTTGGTGTTAGTGTAAGGTTTGTGTAACTTGCTATGGCTAATTGAGAGTAGTTGATGAAATGGTGGGATATGTCTGCTCATGTGCTGGGCTATGAAATTGAGATGTGCCCCCACACCTTGTCAGTTGGTTACAATGATTTGTGACAAGTTACACAAATTTTACATAAACACTAATAGGATTCCTACCTAAGTGTTTAAATATATAATCTTATGGCATATGAACGTCCGCAGATGACCAGGACATGGTTGGATTCTTAGAAAGATGATTTTCCAATATTATGTAAGTTCCAAATACTGGATTTTGAAAGTGTCTACTGCAACCTGGCCCTAAGATATTATAATGGGGTTTGCATGCTTTACAGTTAAGGAGCTTGTATGTCAGGGATGTAAAATCTACGAATGTGATTAACTATCATAGGTCTTGAGTTCTCCCAGTCTGAAGAACAACTTGTGTCTGTTGCCTTTGAGATCCTTGTAGATAAACTATGGTGGGTTAGAGAAGGGCAAGGAATATGGTTATTAGTATAGGAATTAAGACCTCTGAAGGATTTTTAGCTTGGAGAAGGAAAGACTAAGGACAGACCTTTTCAAATAACTCGACTGTCATACAAAAGAGAGTTTTACGGTGGTGCTAGTTGTATAAACTCAAAGCAGTTTCTTCCTCTCTAGAGGGGTAAGCAGAGATAGCAATTTATGCAGCTAGGTGTTTGTTTAGATGGCCCACAGTGCTTCCACAGATTGTGTGATACACAGAGAAGTTCTGAAAGTAAAAGGTTAAACGGAGGTTCCTAATTCAATATCCGTGCCTGAAATCCAGTACTGTAGTAAGTCACAACTAAAGTAAGCCCATTAAATCAGTTGCTCTTACATAGGTGTTGACTCACCAAATTATACAGTGCACCTACTCTATCTGCAACTTACTACTGGATATCGGCCACTATATGCTTTTTATTTCTGTGGGGAAGCTAGCACTTCCTTACTTTGTTTGATGTGCAGCAGTCCAAGTTTCTGAGGAGAAAGAAGATAAGAAAGACCATGATCACTTTGATGTGGTCTGAAAGGATCAATACAATATGTTTTGCTGATTAACATAAATGTATATTTGCTGCTGAAGTGAGCATTATTTTATTTAAAACATTTATTATGTACAGCTTCTGATAGAAGGTTATGAAATATGATTGGGGAGAGCAAATATAGCTAGGAGAATTTAATCTTTTTAACAGCTTTATAGAATAAGAGTGCAGTAAAATGGAGTATGTGGAAAACTCGCATTTAACTACACAATTTGTTTTCAATATTTCAAGACAATAATAACATTTTTTTCAACTTGCATTCTTGGAAAAGATATACTTTATTTCCTTGCTCTCCTGTAAAAGATTATAGATCATATGTCACAAATAAAAGTTAAGCTGGAAGTTAAAGAAAAATGAATGCATTTCCTGTTTAAATAGTCATTATGTCTGTCTATCAGAATCTATCTCATGTGTTTCCCTTTGTCTTCTGTCTCTGAAGCAGTAAAGTAAGTATTATTTGGCAAATGCTGTAGAACTAATCCATTCATTTGCTGATTATCATGTGATAGGTTACTGCTGGGCTCATCACCGCTGTGCGGAATGGTCACTGGGAGTTTGCCAGACTGAAGAGCAGCTACCAGTGAACGTGGACAAAGCTGTTGTCTCAGGGAGCACAAAAGTGAGTTCAAAGTCATTACGACATCGTGACTTTTACATCCTTCAAAATTTCTTTCAAGTGTAAATACCAATGCATGCAGAAACCACATCACTAAGACATTAGTTTATTATTTCAAAATAAATTTTCATCTGTATGGACTGTGCTTTGCCAATATTAACTTCGGTTTTAGAGCCAGTAGGAGAAGAAAAGGGAATCCTCTTGGAGTTGTCCTGTGAACAAGTACCATGTTTCCCCGAAAATAAGAGTCTTTTATTAATTTTTGCTCCAAAAACTCATTAGGGTTTACTTTCAGGGGATGTTTTTTTTTTCATGTACAACAATCTACATTTATTCTAATGCAGTCATGTCATCTTCTGGTTGCTGCACAATGGTGGAGGGCAAGGTTTCACTTAACTGGGGCTTAATTTTGGGGTAGGGCTTATATTACGAGCATCCTGAAAAACCATACTAGGGCTTATTTTCAGGTTAGGTCTTATTTTTGCGGAAACAGGGTATTGATTTAAGAGCTGGGACTTTAGATTATTTGTTACTTGATTCACTTCTCATGCTGAAATAATGGCACAATTGGTCTTCCCAAGAAATCCACTCCCAACTGAAAATGAGTCCAAAACAGTCATTTCCATTTTTTTTCCCTCCCAAATATCAGACCTGTAAAAAGGGACAGTCTTCTCAGGGGAAAAGTCTTTAAGTGGTTTAACTATTATGAAGCACCCCAATAAAGATTGAGGTGTTTGAAACACTTTGGTTTTCAGTTAGTGAGAAACAACTGCAGCAAAGAAGTTTACAAATTCCTTTAAAAATACTTGCTATAAATTGTGCTGTGGTGATATACCATGAAGCTTTATGAAGAATTGAAAAAGTAAAATTATTTATATATTTGGCGGCTTTGTGATGGTATTATTGGGAACAGTGGTACTTGTTGTGAATTTTTTTTCCTGAATAATAATTTAAGTATCTGGCTTCAGAGCCAGATGTGAGTTCAGTTTCCCACTGTGCCTCCTTGACAAGGGCTGGATTCAATGTGCTATAGGGTCTAGCAGTGATGGTGAACCTTTTTGAGCCTGAGTGCCCAAATTGGGGAGGGGGAACCCATTGGGTTGCGGGCAGTGGCGGAAGTGGCTGCAGCGGAAGTGGCGACGGAAGAGGGAATTGCAGGCACAGAGGTGCCTCCAGACCCCAATCCGGATCCACCTCCAGTCATGCCCAACCCCTGCCAGCGTCAGCTGCTCTGGGATCCTGGCCCACCATCTGTCGAGGCGCTAGCACTGTGGCTGCAGCTGCCTCCTCAGGTTTGCCTGTGGGGGGGGTAGCAATCCAGTGACTTATGGCTTGCGTGCCCCCAGAGAGAGCTTTGCGTGCCACCTGTGGCACACGTGCCATTAGTTTGCCATCGCTGGTCTATAAGGGTCCCTTCACTCTCCATTTCTCAGATGATTATGATTCTCTTTTTTTAGCTGCTTAACATGTGTTCTCATTTGTTTATTTTCTTGTGCTCTAGGTAATATTCTGGTTTAATGCTTTCAAGCAATTGTAGTTTTGCTTTGAATGCCATGCTTAGGCATGCTTATAGTAGGAATATTTATGTTCTGTTTGGAAGTTATTTTTCTTATCTTTATGAAACTGATTGGGCTTCAGAAAGCTTATCACTTCTCCATAAGGGCTTGGGTTCCCCTGTTTTTTCCTTAAATTTATGAGTTAATCATATGAGCTCTGATTATACGTTATACAAATCAGTGCATGGAAAGAGTTGCAGATTTTTTGTGATCAGTTGTTAGGAGGCGATGTTCTGCTCCTTATTGAATGCTTTTTACTTTTTGGATTTAGTAAATACTGTATGGATTCGTAACAAAATAGTTTTATTATGTCTTACTGCTTCCTATGCCTATCATCATCATCATCATCATCATC